CTATCTATCTATCTATCTATCTATCTATCTATCTATCTATCTATCTACATACACATGCACACACACACATATAACCTCTTGCACATGTTCTCTTATCTACCTTCATCCATTCATCCTTTTTTTTTCTATCCTCCCTTCCCTCTATCTCTCCTAATCTCAACTCTAGATCCCTTTCTCTTTCCCTAAAGGCCTTCCTTCTACTCCAGACCTACACTCCTAGTAGCATAATCTGGAATTTCTAATCAGCCTAATGTCCCATTAACAGGGCTTCCTGTTTATTCTACAAAACAGAGAAAAAAACAGTGGAATTGATGCCTCAACAGAAACATTGATAATATCCAACTTTTGCCTGGGTTACAAGTCACCAAGACCTTGAGTTACAAGAAGAAGAAGAAATAACTTCTATTTTGCAAGAATTCTTGGCTGCTGCTAATATTGTTGGCTTCCTCTTGTAAAGCTAAATTCATTTACCCCATTCCCCTAGCCCCCATCTCCGTCCTTATATTGTGCCTTTTGACAAGAAGCCTTTCCTACGGTCAAAGAAAAAAAGAAATAATTTGCTTTCCTCTTTTTCTTCTTCTTTTCTTTTTTTTTTCCAAGGCGCTAATCCTCCCGGGCCATTTCTGGGGCCTGAGAAATAGCTTTTCCCTCACCTCCCCTTACCCCCCCCCCAAAAAAAAGAGAGAGAGAAGCTTTGCCATACAATGGACATCATAAAAACCAACTTCATCCTACCATTGAGATTGAGAAATCAGATTTCCACCCAGTCATTCCTGCAGGATTAGCTAAATCTGAGATCCACACTAACCCTTCACAAAGCTGTCAAGATTAGCTTGAATGTATTTTATTCCAGCTTTTCAGGGGTGTGAGGGCTGGTGGTTATTTTCCAAGGAGGATTAAGGACCGTGAGCGAGTGTGTGTGTGTGTGTGTGTGTCTTTGTATATTTACGATGCTTTTATAAAGCAACTAAACTAGATTACGGAGAGACGGCGGTGAGGAAGGGATGGTTGAAACTCTTCCAAGAGCTGTCCACTGAGCAGAAGGTATGTTCCCCTTCCAATGAACATTTACGCCCGGTCTCTCCTTTCCATTTTGGGGGGCAAATCTTCCAACTGATGATAAAGCAGAAGCCGTATTTATCTCCTTTGGTCCCTCAGATGTAGCTGAGATCCAACAGAGAGAAGGATGTCAACAGAAGCTCCTTTGGTGGCTGAGCTGGAGAAGAAGCACCCGAAGAAGCCCCATGCCTTCACCATTGAGAGCATCCTGTCCAGCTCGGTGGAGAGCCGAGCCCCCGTCCTCTTCCCCTTCTGCTTCCGAGGTATTTGGGAGCAGCAGGACCCCAAAACCTTGTGCTTTTGGGGGAATCTGGCCACCGAGGAGGAGGAAACAGAGGAAGCAGCAGAAAGAGCTGGGTCGTCGTGCGGCTGTTGCTGCTGTTCCAAGGAGAACCTTCGCACGTGGCAAGACAGCGCAAATTGGCTGGGTGAGGATTTCGGTTGGAGTAGCGGGGTGCAAAAGACTTGGGGAGTGGGGTGGGGGGGTTGTGAGGGTGGGGGAGGTGGCTGCTATTGGGGGCCAACTCCCTCCAGCTGAACTTTATTGGAGAATCAGGACACCCCCCATCCCCGAGGTCAAAAATCAGTCTTGGAGTTTCATAAAAGTTTTTTTTGTCCAAAGAGGTCTTGTTTTCTTTAGTTCTTTCAAGTGAATTTCCTTGGGTTTTTTTCTCTCTTTTTTTGGTGTGTGTGTTTGTGTGTGTGTGTGTGTGTGTGTGTGAGAGAGAGAGAGAGAGAGAGAAAGAGAGAGAGAGAGAGAGAGAGAGAGAGAGAGAGAGAGAGAGAGAGACTTTATTGTTATTCTTCCAAGATGTGTGTGTGTTTTCTGTTTCCTTAGTTCATTCAAGCAAATTTCCTTGAGGTTTTTTGATATGTGTTGTGTGTGTGTGTGTGTGTGAGAGAGAGAGAGAGAGAGGGAAGGAGGGAGGGAGATATATATATATATATCAACAGATTTCACTGTTATTCTTTCGAGGTATGTGTTTCTTTTTCCTTAGTTCATTCAAGCAAATTTCCTTGGTTTTTTTTTTTTTTGATATGTGTGTGTATATGTGTGTGTGTGAGAGAGAGAGAATGTGTGTGTGTGTGTAATAAATAGGCTTTACTGTTATTCTTCCAAGGTGTGTTTGTGTGCAAAGGGGGAAACAAAAGAGTTGTTTCCATCGCATTTCAGACATAGTACAGGTAGCTCTCAACCTACAACCGTCCGTTGAGCGACTGCTCGAAGTTACGATGGGACTGAAAATAATGACCGATGACCGTTTTTCCACAAGTTATGACCCTTGCAACCTCTCAAATGGCCACGTGATCAGAATTTGGCCGCTTGGCAATGGATTCATAGTTATGACGGTTGCAGTCCTATATATTCCCAGTCCAGAGAGAGAAATATCTGCCTCTACCTAACATCGAACTCATAGCCTCCTGGTTACGAGGCGAGAGCTCCGCCGGTAGGCCACCCGCACCACTCCAAGACCACCCTCCATACCATCATCATCTTCATTTTTAATGAACTCATTAATCCTTTGCATTGGGGTGGAGTCTGTGCAACCGAATGGAGCTGAGTGTTTACTGGCCGGATGCCTTTCCTGTCACCAATGCAGAGTCTTGTTCAGCAGATATATTCTCATTGCGTCCAGAGAGAGAAATATCTGCCCCTACCTAACATCGAACTCACAGCCTCCTGATTACGAGGCGAGAGCTCCGCTGCTAGGTTACCGCACCACTCCAAGATAGGCAGAGAAAGCATCTCTCTTGAGCTGGGGCGAAGACCCCTCCCCACAGATAAGCAGATATCTTCCCACGCCTTGAGACCAACGGACTTGGTTCACAGCATCTCTGGAGACCAACCCAACAGATTGTGCTTCCTTCTAGGGGACACCAGGTACGTGTGGCCCATGAAGTTCTTCTACCCACTGGCCGGGCCCTGCAGGAATCACCGCGGCAGCCCCAGTGCGCTGCAAAGCTTCCAGCAGATCCAGCGACGGACTAGGCGACATCGGACTATCTTCACGGAGGATCAGCTCCAGGCCTTGGAGACCCTCTTCCATAAGAACCAATATCCAGACGTGATCACCAGAGAACACCTAGCCAGCCAGATCCACCTGAAGGAAGAGAGAGTTGAGGTAACTTTCGGGGTGGGGATGGCGGGGGGGGGGGGGGGGGGGGGCGGGGGATGAACAGGTGACAAAGAGCCGGACTGTAGGAGATTGAGGGTGCAGAGGGGTTCATAATCCTTCCAGGAGATCAGGTCAAGGGCTTCCTCCTATTTTCTGCACAACAACAACCCCATGAGGTGGGTTAGGCTGAGAGAGAGAGAGAGAGAGCGAGAGAGTGACTTGCCCAAAGTCCGCCAGCTTTCATGCTTAAATAGCATTAGCGATAGCATTTATATACCGCTTCACAGTGCTTTCCAGCCCTCTCTAAGTGGTTTACAGAGTCAGCATTTTGCCTCCAACAATCCGGGTTCTCATTTTACTGACCTTGGAAGGATGGAAGGCTGAGTAAATCTTGAGTGGTCAGGATTGAACTGGTGGTGTGTGGGCAGATTTAGCCTGCAATACAGTATTCTGATAGCTCAATAGACTAGACAGAGCCGGGGAGAGAGAGACAGAGAGACAGAGACATACAGAGAGAGAGCGAGAGAGAGCGATAGCACTCATGTTTTTCATGGTGGATGATATAATGTCCTTCTATTTTGAACAATTTTCCTCATTTTACAATTTTCATTTTTTGCAGCATTTCAGTATTGGTATACATATGGTTTCCATACATTTTATTTTATTTTATATATACCTATACCTATATATCTATATCTATGTCTGTCTATCTTTATCTATATTCACACACACATTTCTTTATATATGTTATTCCACTAAAATATGTATTTCTTACTCTGAATATTTTGCCCTTTTACCTTTTATAATGCATATTTTACATTTTATTATCCTACTGCAACGTTTCATATTCTTTCTTTATCTTTATACCTACTATTTAACCAATTGTACCATGCATTCCAAATCAAATAATATTTCCGTTCCTCCTCCATCTTTTTATTTCCATTGTCAGTCTATCCATCTCAGCGCACTCTAATACTTTCTTTATCACAGGCACACACACGCACACAAAAAACCCACAAAAACACAGACACACACACGCACACACTAACGTCCTCCTTCTGTTGTCATCACACAGGTTTGGTTTAAAAACCGCCGAGCCAAATGGAGACATCAAAAGAGAGCAACGGCTTCGTCAATCATCCTTCCTGGAGCCAAGATTTCCTCCGAAGAGAACTGATAATGAACGGGTTATCGAACACAGGTTATCAACATAGGAACAAACTATAGGTTAGCAGAGTTCACACATCCCTGTGTCAGGATTCCGGCACTTACCCCCATTTAAATCATGAGTCTCGAGCTAAACTTCCAAAGCTTCAAAAGGATTTATTGGGAGTTAACGTGTCCAGCACTGCCTGGATGTAGCTGACTCTGAGACACATCATTCATGGTCACCCTTGACCCTGGTTTCCCCCCACCCCCTCTGGGTGTATCGTAATTCCTATTCTCCAATGGGACACATCCATAGCCCAGAGTCATCAATCCTGCTCTCCAGTTAGAATTTTGCGGGGCAGAAACTTCAGTCACCTAGTTACTATCTTTGAAGACATTTCTGGAATGCACTTTTGGTTTGCAAACGGCTGCACTGCTTCCCCCTCCCTTTCTGTTGGCAACCCTAAAAAAAACCAGAGAAATATTTTATGAGTTGACACCCTGTTCTGGTTAACCAGGATTGATCTATCAACAGACATCAGGCTGCGTTCGGTTCTTATACTGAGAACTGATTTACCTGTAATTGTTGGGTTTCATGCCACGATAGCTCAGTAGAATACAGGTAGTTCTTGACTTACAATCGCTGTTCGCTTTTACAATGGCACTGAAAAAAGTGACTTACGACCGTTTTTCACACTTATGACCATTGCAGCATTCCCCGTGACCATGTGATCAAAATTCGGACCCTCAGCAACTGACTCGTACTTATGACAGTTGCAGTGTCCCCTGATCCCCCTTTGCGACCTTTTTACAAGCAACTCAGTGGGGAAGCCAGATTTTCTTAGCAACCGTGTTACTAACCTAATAACTGCAATGGTTCACTTAATGACCAGGACCAGAAAGGTCATACAATAGGGAAAAACTCATGTAACAAATTTCTCACTTTAGCCACACTGATTCCGGGCTCAGTTGTGATCATAAATTGAAGAATACCTGTATTTATTTCTTCTCTAGTGAGCAATTAAGCAACTACACAGAACGATTCACATACATTATGATTAAATTACGATTTACTGCCCAGCTTGTCTGATAATTCAGGAAGTCCTCAACATATGACCACTTCAGAATTTCCATTGCTAAGCAGGGCAGCTGTTAAATGAGTTGCACCTGATTTTACAACCTTTTTTGGTGGCGTGGTTGTTAAGTGAACCAATTGCAGTTGTTAATTGAATCCTGAAGTGAATCCACCTTCTTCCATTGGCTTTGCTTGTTCAGAGCAGGATGCAAAGTTCAGGATCATAAATATACGCCGTATATTTATATGAATAGTGATCACGTGATGGTCGTAGGTACCAGGACCAGTCATAAGTCATAAGAGACTGGACAGCCATTTGCCTAAAATGCGATAGGATCTCTTGCTTGAGCAGGGGGTCAGACTAGAACACCTCCAGGGTCGCTTCCAACTCTTGTCCTTCTGTCATTTTTTTCCCAGTGCCATTATAACTCCAAACAGTCGCCAAACAGGTAGTAGGACTCGTAGTTGCATTGCTAGCGAACTCAAAAACCCAGAGTAGGATTGAAACATAAAATGTTTTGCAAAGTCAATGTTTTCGAACTGTAACGTTTCCGGCCAGTGGATGTAGCTACAGTTTTATCTGCTTTTCAGCCTGGATCTTTAAGAAAAAAAAAACATTCCACCGGCTACACAGGCAGACAAAGAAAAATAAAAGAAAAATGAACTTTGTGTTTGTTTTCCTTTCGTGCCCATTTGTTGCTCTTTTAAAGCATTTAGTCATTTTTTGCAACATTGGTCGCCATGTTCCCCTGTCAATCACACCTTCTTTCAGTTGTTGGATGTTCAACTTTGCATCCGATTTGATGTTATCAAGCCAGTGAGTTCTTCTTCTTCCTCTTCCTCTTCCTCTTCTTCCTTCTCCTCTTCTTCTTCTTCTTCTTCCTCTTCCTCTTCTTCTTCCTCTTCCTCCCACTAACGCTTTCTGGCATCATTGCTTCCTCCAATCAATTTGCACACATAACATGGGCAGGGTAAATCAGATGTACAGCTAGTCCTTGACTTATAACCGTGATAGTGAACCTATAGCGTGCGTGCGTGCAGTGGTGTGACAGGTCTCCCGGGAAGAGCCCCACTGTGCATGCGCCCACGCCCACCACCAGCCAGATGATTGTCAAGTATCTGCTGTGCATGCATGTGGGAGATGTGTGTGTGGCACGCAACGTGGAAATGGTTAGCCATCACTGACTTATAAGAATTCATTTAGTGACCATTCAAAGTTACGACGTCACTGAAAAATGTTGAGCATTTTTCTGAGGATGAGCATTTTTCACACTTACAACCTCGAGGATTCCCCATGACCATGGGACCCAGATCTTCCTCTGGGTACAAGGAGAATATATCTGCGGAACAAAACTCCGCATTGGCAGCAGGAAAGGCATCCGGCCAGTAAACACTCAGCTCCATTCGGTTGCCAAAACTCCACCCTGCAAGGGATTATGGGGTCATTAAAAGAAGATGATTTTTAATGGCTGTTTTTTGTGGCATCTTAGAAGTTGATTGGGGTGTGTAAAATGCAAAAATATATTTATAATGCAACAACGCAACGCAACATGCAAAGTAGAACAGTGAAGGTTTTGCACTTACGGATCCCAGGATTCCTAAAAAATGCAAATTTTGCAAAGATGGAAATAGAAATCAATGGATCATTCCATAATTAAAATCGTAAGGGGCGGCAGAGGCGCAAATCCCTGCTTTTCAGATATCCACTTGTCTTATTTGTTTTATTTTTTGGGGGGAGGAGTGAAATTAGGAGGACTGAGTCTAAGATGAACGACGACCCTGCAGAGTAGGCTCGGTCGGGCGTTCCAAGCCACTCACACCTTCCCCTCCTGCCCCGCTGCAGCTGCGAACAGAACCCGAAGCGATCACGCGCTGTCCCCTTCGCCTTACCTCTATATCACGTCAAGAGGAGGCGTTCCTGCACGCTCGGGTTACCACCCCTTGGGTGGGAGTGGCCTTGGCGCGCATGCCGGGACGGCGTAGGAGAAAGCGCTTCCGGTGTGTCTCCGGAAGTGCCCGTATTTCCGGAAGTGAGAGCCCAGGCCTGTCTGCGTTACCACGGGAGACGATTCGTGGGGCGACATGGAGCCTCCGGGGGGCCCGGCCGGGTGCGGCGCTTCGGCCCAGGCGCTGGTGCCCGTCCAGGCCGAGGCTTCCGCCGTAGCTCTGCGGAAGGAGGCGCCCCAGGAAGCCCCTAAGTGCCCCAAGAGGGTTCTGGACGAGGATTCCTACATTCAGGTGATGGGACGAGGCCGGATAGGCCTTCGGGGGACCCGGCTGGTCGTCGTCGATCAGCCCTCGGGCGCTTCCTCACCTAGTTGGCGGTCCGGCGTTCTTTTTCAACTCCCGTTCTGGCCTACCTCGCAGGGTCGTCGTGCGGAGGTGGGAGGAGGAGGAGGAGGAGGAAATCAAAATATTCCCAAAACATTGTTACATTCCATCCCTTTAATCTCTGATTCAAATTTATATACTTTGCTAATTATGGCTTTACTGGTACGGGTAGTCCTCGACTTACGACCACAACGGTGCCCAGAATTTACGTGGCTAAGCCCACCCACCCCACCCCTGGTTTAACCTTTTTTTTTGCAAGATAAAATAAGATGCAAAATAGGAAAGTAAAAAAGGGAAACGGTGGGCAGGAAGAAGGGGAAGAGAAGCAAGGGAAGATAGGAGAAAAAGAATTCTACTGTCAATAGTGCAATGTGAGTGGAAATATCAGGGGAATAGAAATAGGAATAGGAATGATACGATAGAAGAGAAGGAGAAGGAGAAGGGAAAGAAGAGGGAGAAGGAGAAGAAAGAGAAGGAGAAGCAAAAGGAATGGAATGGAGAGGAGGAAGAGGAAGAGGAGGAGGAGGAGAAAAGAAAGGGGAATGGAATGGAGAATAGAATAGAATAGAATGAATATTGGAGTAGAGTAGAATAAAATAGGGTAGGGTAGGGTAGGAAATATGGAATGGAATGAAGAATAAGGGACAGGATAGGACAGGGAGTTGGAAGGGACCTTGGAGGTCTTCTAGTCCAACCCACCAATCAAGCAGAACACAGCAAACTCCAAGACCAATAAACACAGACCAAGACTCTCAACCAATCAGAATGAAGAAAAAAACATTCTGGCACAGCAGTAGGCTAGCACCAAATTTAAAACGGAAACGGCTGTGAAAGTCTGACTCACAGACGAACACAATACAGAAGCCTGATGATGGCAGATGAGATTCTGCCAAAACGTTGCTACAACTTTAAAAGCACAACTACAATGACGTGGGAAAATACCCAAACAAAGCTGAATACCGTACATATAAATATCCACGAAAACTTAAGAATGAATATATATGTGTGTGTGTGTGTTTATATTCCTTGTTGAACCTCTTTTTTAAAGCCTTTTTGGGGTTCCAACCATTTGACTCACCATATCAAAAGAGAAGACTTCAGAATTGTGTAATCCAAATGCCTCCTGTTTTAAATATTTATCAGGGAAACATATTTTGTTTTCTTCTGAATGCTTTTGCAGAGCCTGGAAAAAATCATCCAGAGGGATTTTTTCCCTGATGTCGAGAAGCTGCGTGCCCAGAAGGAATACCTGGAAGCCGAAGAGAGTGGTGATTTGGAGAAGATGAGACAGATAGCCATCAAGTTTGGCTCCTCGCTGGGCAAAACTGCCAGAGATACTCCTGCACCTTGTAAATATGAATGCCTGATCACTTGATGGGTTCGATTCATTGTGCCACCAAGTCATTTTTTATTCCTAGCCACTACATAGTTTCTCCATGAGGATCTGTCCCTCACCTGGCCTTCAAATTTCCCAAGGGTGCATTTGTTGCCCTTTTAACTGGGACTCTTCACCTCTGGTCCCAATGACCAACCCAGATTAGACCCTCTAGGATCCAATCTGGGTTCAGGTTAACAGAGTTGGAAGGGATCTTGTAGGTCATCTGTCCAACCCCCTGCCCAAGCAGGAGACCCTACACCATTTCTGACAGATGGCACTCCAATCTCTTCTTGAAAGCCTCCAGTGATGAAGCTCCCACAGCTTCTGAAGGCAACTTCTGTTCCATTGGTTGGTTGTTCTCACTGTCAGATAGTTTCTCCTTAATTTCCAGGTTGAATCTCTTCTGGATCAGTTTCCATCCCTTATTTCTTTTCTGGCCTTCAGGTTCTTTGGGAAATAGCTTGACCCCTTCCTCCTCTCTATGGCAGCCCCTCAAATATTGGAAGGCTGCTCTCCTGTCTCCCCTGGTCCTTCTCTTCCCTAGACTAGCCGGGGCCAGTTCCTGCAACCGTTCTTCGTATGTTTTAGCCTCCAGGCCATTGATCATCTTAGATAGATTCAGATTAACAGAGTTGTAAGGGACCTTGTGGGTCACCTAGTCCAACCCTCACCCAAGCAGAAGACCCCACACCATTTCTAACAAATGGGTTGGTCACCCAGACCAGAGGTGAGACATGTCTAATTCACCCTCACTGTCCATCTTGCTGCTGGTTATCCCCTTCTCTTTTTTTCTACAGTGATCCCTTAGTACTTATCATTCATTGGTTCTTGGGACCATGACATGTAGTAAAAATGACAAGTACCAAACCTACTTAACACGTAATCCTTTGTTTTGGCTGGAAAGGGTAGCAAGTCACGAGGCAGCTGACACTGGCTAGTTTTCGCTGGTATGTCAGGTACCAAGCAAACAACTTTCCTTGAAGGGACATTGTCATTTGAAGACAGAGGTAGATGTATAATTAATCGCCAACTTATTGGATTGTTACCTTGATTTTTTTTCACCAAGAAGCGAAACTTGGCCTGGTAATTTCCCAACCTTCAGCCCCCAAAGCATCATTAGGTCAATCAGGCTTTCTGAGATTTAGTGTTTTGGGATTTTTTTTCTGATGGGGATTTGTATTTTCAGAGCAGTAACTTTCTATACTTTGTAAATCTGTGTTTTCTGTTCCTCGGGACAGATGTCACCCCGGCAACTTTTGAAACCCCTGATGTTCACTCTGGTGATCCTTCTGTGCTGAGTAAGCCCAAGCTCACCGTGAAATCGCTCGATGAAGGTAAGCCGTTGGAGTAGTACTTTTGATTGTTCAGCGTATGGCCCTTTGGGTTTTGACTTGGAGCGGGATATTCCAGCGAAACGGATTCATTGCTAATCACGCCCACGAACAGGAAACTTCGCACTGAATGGTTCATACCAAAGGTGCCTTTTTTTTCAAAAGGCAACTGGACTTTCTGGTTTTTTTGGTGTTTTTTTTTTTTTTTGAAGATGTTTCGCTTCCCATCTAAGAAGCTTTTCCAGCTAAAGAATGCAAGGAATATAAATCCTTCCATTTCCCGCTATCCTATCAGAGCTGAAGAAGCTTCTTGGATGAGAAGCGAAAGCTCTTCAAAGAAGAACCAGAAAGTCCAGTTGCCTCTTGGGACAACTTTTTCAAGAGGCAACTAGACTTCCTTGTTTTGTTTTTTT